TGTGATGATGCAGGATTCTTCATCTCTTTAGGTCTTCGTACAGATCCACATTCCCATTGAGGTTCGCACTTACTTAAAATGAAAACCTCCCTTTCCAAAGCTGCTTATAGTCATTTCTTTATTCCTTCCCTTTATAGTTTTCACCAACTTACATGTAATCAATATTTTACTTACGTCTCCTCTTTCTTGTCTGTATACTCCCCTGATGAAAAAGAACAATAAGGGACACTTGTCTGTTTTATTGTTGTTTTTCAATGTTCTGTTTACGAATCAACACATAGTTGGTGATCCAAAAATAAATGGGACAAAGAAATGTGGTATTATCTGTTGAAGATATTTTATAATTTTATCAACTGGACTAGGGAGAAATAGTCACATGTTGAAATATTTACTTTGTAAGCTAAATAATGTGGTTGAATGCTTAAAAGGAAATGAAATAAAAAATGTAAATAAAGAAATTAAAAAAGAATGGCAAGTATAAGAAAAGCCTTCTAGATATGCTGAGTAGAATCTTTTCTTTATGACTGAACGCTAAAGACTTGTGAAGGCCTGATCTGACTGCTCCAATAACATGATCTCTACTTTCTGTGGATAGAGTGTTTTGTTTTTGTTTTTGTTTTTTTGAGAGTGTGTGCACTCCCTAGAGAAAGACAGAAAAACAGAGGGAAGGAGAGAAAGGGGGAAAGCACCCCCTGACTTAGAGAACGGCTGCAGTCCTCCTCCTACTTCACTCCCTCCTTGGGGGACTTCGGGGATGTATGCACATATGCCCAGTACGCCTTTCCAGCCACTGTATCAAGGACTCAGACCTGGTCCTCGGCCATGTGCGATCCAGCTTCCATTCCCATGCCACAGGCTGGCCTGAAATGAGATCTTTTTACAGGGAATTTATTCTTCACTTTTCTTACTCTATGTCTTAATCTTCCTCTTGATAGTGTGGTAATGGCCTCACTAACATTCCTTGTCCCTTCATAGTGTTGATGTGAATTTTAAAAGAGTAAAAATGGATTAGGCAAAGTTAAAACTACAAAGAGCTATTCAGCTCCAAGCATAAGGGAAGGTATTCTTTGTTTTGAGATATAATGAAAAGCATAAAACCTGCATTTAATCTGGGTACTTTTAATTGTGTAACCTTGGAGAAATCATAGAAACTTTCAGTTTCTCAAGCTGCACAATGGGAACAATACTGGCTCTATTTCATGGACTCTTTGAAAGGATAAAATAAGCATATATATATATATTTTTTTTTTTTTTTGGAGAGAGAGATTTTTGCTATAGGGCATCTGCATTCACCAGTGCAACAGAAAGTGAGAAATTTCCCTCAGGGGGGATGGCCTCGTCAAAATCCCTTCTCCTCTGTTCTTCTAATGGGATCTTGTGGACGCATGCATACAATGTCCAATGTGAGTTTCAAGCCACCAGGTCCAGGCCTCAAACAGTGGTTAACTACATGGGATGTAATCATTACACCATCTGCTAGTCCTAAACTTGCAAAATTTTTTTTTGAGAGGTTTTTGCTACAGAGCACGGGCGCTTGTCAGAGACAGAGAGAGACAGAGAGACAGAAAGCGGGAAATCACCCCCAGGGGGGATGGCCATGCCACATCCTCTTCCCTTCCATTCTCTTCTTGGGATCATGGGCACACACGCACATGCACCTGGCATGAGTTTAAGCCACAAGGTCCGAGGCTCGACTACTTGGGAGTCCAGCGACATAGCCATTACGCTAACTGCGGGTCTGGAAATCATGCCAGGATCATAAACCATAACAAGATTAATGCAAAATGTGTTCTGCCCACTTCATTATATTTTCTTAGATACAGTATTTCTATTGCTTTCAGGAACGGAAGAGTAATTTTTGTTACTAAAAGATTTTATAGAGCTAGGTTCAGTATCTTACGTAGAGTTGGTTGTACCTGTTTTCAATTGCTTTCCCTGTATACATTCAATTAATTTCTTTAATGTTTCCTCTCTTTGATATTTTCATTTTGATTACCATGCCTTGCAATATCCCCAACATTTCAACGGCTTATTGATCCCAAGAATCTTAGAGCATGTTTATTACTATAGAAGCATCTCTGAATGCTTGAATAAAGTTTCATGATCTTTACATAAACCTTAAAGAACTTGAATGATTTATAAATAAAACTGTACCATGAAACTTTGGTCATCTTCTCTAGTATTTATGACAATTTTTTCTTCAAATTAGGAAAAAGTGAATATTTATGGTGTCTTTGTGTCTTGGTCTTATTTTAAAGAGCATTTTTGCTTAGATCATAAAAACTTCCAAACAGCAGTGAAGTGAATATGAAATAGCAAAATCGGTGTTAGTCCATATCAATGAGCAAGTCTTGCTTAGCTTTGATGCTTCCTACCCTAATTTTTATTTTTGACCTTTGAAAAGTTCATCACGCTTCCATACAGAGAATATTTTTTTCCCTCAGGAAATTCCTTGACTACCTTCTCAGGGCTGCGTGCCAGTTCTAAAGTATCTCTTCCTCTATTGAGGGAGGAATTCTTTACATCATGTAAATGTCATCTTCTTTCAATGTCCTTTCCATATTTTTCTTTTTTTTTTAATTTTTCTTCAACACTGAAGAGCTTTTCAGGCATTAAAAACACTTGATTGGTATCTAGTATTCCTTCTGTATTCTAAATTCTGCCATAATTCTAGGTCACTTCAAGTGTCATGTGGGTGATTTAGGTTAAAACTATTTTATAACAATTTCATGACCATCTTATTCATTCTATGTATTAGCTACACCCATAGCGATAACCTAAACTTTGTTACCAAACAGGGCTGTTACAAATAGGAGGTTTTTAAAACTCATTTATTTATTTATTTATTTAGCTGAAGGGTGCATATGCTTACCAGAGAGAGACAAAGAAAGAGGGAGAGAATAGAGGTGAGTCACAGATCCCACATCTTGAGAAATATACCAGGGATGTGTGCATGCATACCCCCAAACCCAGAGAGGGTATAGGTAGGGGGAGAGATGAGGAGGATTGTGGTGTCCACTTCTCCTGGGGTAGGAGTTTGGGAAGGGTTTTTTCCTCTCCTTGTTTCCCTTTTTATCTCTCTGTCGCTCTCAAGTGAGTGCATGTACCCTCTGTCAAAAAAAAAAAATAATAATCTTGAATCATCAATTTTTGTTTAATGATAATTCTTTTCAAATATTTCTCAAGTTCCTTCTCTCTTCTTTTCCCAATTTTCTACCACTAGACTATTTCAGCCCTTTATGTTTCTTATCTGGATTGCAGTCCAAAGCTTTGAAGTAATTTTGTTGCCTCTAGTCTTGAGGCTTGATTTACAACACTTTCGTAATGTGTCACTCTCTACTTAAAGCCATTAAGAGTCTCTTGCACTGCCTTCAAGCCTGAGCTAAGAGTACCTTTTCTATAAATTTTCCTTCTGTATCACAAAACTGTACACTATATTGTTATTTTTTTCTTGTTTTATTGAGACACTTTTGCTATAGGGTATGTGCACTTGGCAGAGAGACAGAGAGAGACAGAAAGTGAGATAAATCACTCCCTGGGAGGATGGCCATGCAGCGGTCTCTTCTCCATTTTCTTCTCAGGATTTTGAGTACACGCGCACACATGCCCGGCAGGAGTTTCAAGCTGCTGGGTCTGGGACTCAAACCATGGCCGACCAAGTGGAAGTTCAGCATCCTAAGCACTACATCACCTGCTAACCCCTTATTTTATTTTACGAGATCACTTAGCCTCACTAAACATAAATTCCTTGAAGTTAGTATGTCCATTTAGTTGTATGCTGCTAACAGAACTTCTGGGAAAAAAATAACATAAAACCTTGGTGCTTAATATTTGGTACAATACAGTATCATCAAGATTACTAACAGCAGAAACCAACCAACTTATTAGCCAAGGTAAATGAAATAAAATCCTCAATCAAAATGGTATTAATTCAAAAAATTTTGTTAATATCTATCTTATTGTGAAAAACAAGGCATATTTAAAATGTTACTTGTTAGTGCTGAGTACTTAAGTGATGTACTTCCATACAGGCTAATGGTTTCTAAAGGTCATGGGTAAATTTTGCTTTCTCTAACACATAAATAAAACTAGTCACCAAGCTGTTCATTTGGCCTTAAAAAATATTGTTGTGTCAGTGTATATTACTGTCAAAACAATTTGTTATGAAAGGAATGTGCAGAAGTGATGTTTATAGATTCTAAGTTTCTGTCTCCTTCACATCTCTCCTTGTTATGTTCAGGTAACTGCACACTGCGAATACAGGCTCCACATTGTTTTTATTGTGTAACTAAGGCACTGTCCTCTGCATGATGCAAGGACATTCTTGCCAATCGAAATTAAAAGTAATTATATAATTGTAGTTTCTTCTTCTAAAGTAGTGGTGTGCAACAATCCCACCATCCATTACATCACAATGTCAGGGACACGTATGATCACCATGATCATGGGAGGGACCTGGGAACTATTGGCATGTAGTAGCCAGAGGTCAGAGAGGTTGCTCAGCATCCTGCGATGCACAGGGCACCAGTAACCATAGTCACGTGTATGGCTGAGATCTTTAGGACACCCCAAAAATGCCACTAGAACTAGAGTTAGAGTTAGAAAACTCTGTTTTCAATTTCACCTCGTGTTTGCAAATTCTTCAACAGAGAAAATTATATGAATGCATTTAACAAACATATATTTACTAATTTATACCATAATGCATTGTATTGGGTGCTATGGGAACAAAAGAATGCATTCTAGAAAAACAAAAACAAAAACAAAAACAAAAAACACAAAACCTGCTTTCAAAGAGTTCATAATCTCATCTATCAATAAAACAGACTCTTATTACATAATAATCGTGCATATGCATCTGTAAATATGCAGCAATAAAAGGAAAGATAGAATGAGAAAAAATTTTGAAATTAAATGGGAACTTAGAGTAGGTAAGTATTTCAGTTTAAGTAGAAATCCAGAAATGAACTATTTAAAAGTGGATTTATTATCTTCCATAGGTGAGCAAGACAGAGGGATAGCACCCTTGATGATCCTGTGACTACAACCCACCTCCAGACTTAGCCAGTCCCAAATCGTGAGTGGGTAAGTACGCCTGTTTTATTTCTTTGTTTGGATACCTGGTGTTTAAGAGAGTTCTCCAGAAATCAGCCTGGAACCTCTCCTTTGGGTCAGCCTTACAAAGTGTTGCTGAGCCAGTGTCTACCCCCAGAAAATCTTTATAGAGAAGTTTTCTCTTCTTATTTTTTTAAAGAATTATTTTATTTAACTTTATTTGTTTTTAATTTGAACAGAGACAGAGTGTGTGTGTGTGTGTGTGTGTGTGTGTGTGTGTGTGTGTGAGAGAGAGAGAGAGAGAGAGAGAGAGAGAGAGAAAGTGAGTTTGCTGCCAGGTCTGGGACTTGAACTGTTATCGACCATGTGAGAGTCCAGTGTCCTTAACCAGCATGCCACCTGCTGGCCCCCAAGAAGTTTTATTTTCACTGGGTCTCAGGGGTTAGCTGGAATAAGATGCATAAAATGAAGGGTAAGAACATTTCAAACTGTAATAAGAACTGTGAAATCTCTATTCTTTCCTATTTTTCTTTTATGTTGCCACCACTATATAATATTTGTTTCACACTTTTTTGTACTACTTAAATGATCAAGTGACACTCCCCAATGGATTCAGACAAATTGAAATTACTAAGTAACCATCATTTCTCAAAATGTTGCTAGTCCCAGAAATACAGCACTCGTTTTTGGAGAAATTTAAATGTCTGTAATGTCTGTATCTATTGTATTTTTCTATGCAAAATGCATCATGATGTTTCTGACTACCCAATGTATCTGCACCCATATCTTATCATATCATATCTATCTATCCATCTTTATATGTAACTGCTCATGGAGGCAGAGATTAATGACTCATTTATTTCAGAGAACGTAAGAAACAAACACCTGTGTACAGTGAAAATTGAGCTAAATGTTGTTGAATGAGTAAGTGTGAGACCAGAGGGAAGAAAAAAATGCATGGATAAAATCCGAGGTGTGGCTCGATGCTGTTTTGTTTGGGAGTGATGCTGAAGAAAGATTTGAGGATGAGAGAGTAAATGGCTTCATGTGCATATTTAATTCAGCTAAATAAACTATGCATAATGCTCTCATTAAGCTTTTAGTTTATAAGAAACATAACCCCATATTATTTACTGGCATTTTTATTTTACTGGCATTTTATTTTGCTTTCAAGTTTAGTGCCAGTGAATATCACCTTTACCACTTTGTTTTATGTACTGTGTTTTTTGTTTGTTTTCATTGTTTTTGACATTTTACTCTCTGCACTTATGTTCTATGCCCACCTATCTCAGGCTTGTTTAAGAGGCTGAGATCCTCTGACTCCTCTCATAGTCCAAGTCACGTTGAACAGTTGGTGTTTCTTTGACACTTGGCATGGTCTGAGACACAGTTCTGTATCATCACCTTAGGACATCAATTTTAGGGAGGTGATCAAAGATCTGGCTCTGATAATTGGACAAATTTACATTTTGAGTGGTAGGAGTTTTCAGCGAGCTGCATTTTATTATTTCCTTTAAAGCTTATTCTCTAGCATATATAAAATTTATATATCATAGAAAATTAAGAGGTGTCACAGACTCTTCCCTTACTGCTGAAGTCTAATCAGCCATCACATCCTGAAGCGTCTGCTTTCTGTTCATGCTTGCCCTGCAGTTTCTATAGTAACTCCTCACCGATGACCGTGCATTCAGGCTTGATATTAGTGTCCTAGAAGATTTAGAAGGAAAATTTGCTCCCTTTTCTCCTTTAATTAGAGCCATAGCCTCCACTTGTATGAGGTAAGATTCACACTCCCTGGGTGACACGACACTCTTGTCAGGTCCACACTCTGAGCTAGACTCCAGTTTCATGTCTGACTCGGCTACTCATGCCATAAGTGAGGATGGCACAGATAAACACGCTGTTCAGGCACATGGTGATAGCAGTTGTCTCCACGTTTGAGCTGGGATGGTGCTCTATTCTGAGTGACCTTGACCCATGACTTTGTGAAACTGTATTATAAGGTCCTGATCACTTCTACTCAATGTGGGACCTTCTAACCAGGAATTCTGTCTCTGGAGCCTCATGTTGAGCTGGTGGACATGTGGTCAGGTTTGTACTGCATGTGTCATTTGCCCTGCCCAACACTGCATCTTTCTTTTCCTTTCACAGATCTACGTCCCCCTCAGAAACCTTTTGCACCCTTAGCTCCAGCTCAGTGTCCATTGCTTTGAGGAGCCCACTGATACAATGCTGCTTCCGATTCTAAGCAAACTGTTCCCTCAGCTAGGAATACCTATTTGCTGTCCTTTTCTTGGAAGGTCATCTCATGCACTCAGTTTCCCTTAAAAACAAGGTCCAATAGTTTCCTTTTCCACCTTTGTATTCTCTGACATTGTATTGTAATTGTATTTCATGTCTCACCCTCTACCACCCAGTCACTCAAGAGCAGACCCTTGCATTATTTGCCTCTACAACACTAGTTTCTGAAATTACACCAGGCAGATTTATTTACTCACAGATACAATTTTAATTTACCATTTACTAAATGATAGACCCTGTACCAAACTGGAAATATAGATATAAATAAGAAAAATAGTTTCTGCCTTCATTAGTATACATACCTATAGAAAAAGTAATTACACAATTATTTTCCTTTACTTCTATGGTACATGCAAGAAAAGAAATTTAAAAAAGCTAAAAGGTTATAAAGCAAGAAGAATTTGGTATAGTCTGAAATGTTTGGAAAATCTACTTTAAGGAAATGTTATATAAGCTGAATTCTGAAGGCTGAGTAGGAATTAATTAGCCAAAGTAGGAGGGAACTTGATGAATGTTTATTGAATCAATAAAATAGTGTAGTTTATGTTTATGAAACTGTGCTCCAGAGACAAATACAACACTTTTTATTAGCCATATCAAATATTTCCTTCTTTATTGTGACCAATTACATTGAATATATTTTTCCTTCCAGGAACTATCTCCTATGTACATCTTAGCTACCATTTCTCACAAAACTATTGACATGCACTTTTCTAGTTATAAATATTTCTAGCCTCAGATCTCAAGGCATCATCTGCTGATGGTCTGAGAGTCCATATGAGCTCAACGGAGTCTTAAAGCTACTGCTCAGGACTGTTCAGATGTAATTTATTTGCAACCTCTTCAATAAGCCATTAAAATAAGTATTTTCCAAGAAGATTGATGCTTAAAAATGTTGCTTGTAGCAGATAGCCAGTTGTATATTTTTATATATTCTGGCAACAACATCTTCAGCTGTGATGGCATTTCTCTATAATATGTTAAATAAAATGCTCCTTCTATTATAAATATCTCCTGCAAATTATAGGTTCGTAGAAGATACTTAGTAACTACTTGTGTAATTGAAGAAAAGTAAAGTACTAAAATGTACAATAAATAAATAGATGAAAAAGTTTTTAAAGGTTTTCTGAAAAAATTGAGAGTAAAACATGTCAATACTGAATAGCAGGTTAGACTAATTTTTATTTCATCACCATATTGTTGGCCCCATGCAGACACAATCTATGTCTATTGTTTCCATTTTTCATTTCACCCCTTATGCCTCATTAGGCTTGCAATAGAGAAAAGGCTAGCACAGAATAAAGCTTAGATCAATCATTCCTCTATGGGCCAGAACGAGCAAAATCAATCACTGTCCATTCAAGTGGTTCTCAGCTATTGACTTTAAACGTTCCTGATGTAGAGGTTACTACACTGTTAATTGCAGGGAAAGTGAATATTTGTGCTTCAGCATATTTCTGAGCTCTCTTTAGAGTACACTTACTACTCTATCCCTATTAATTTCATATGTGAATTGATGAAGGTTGAGAGTCTTTAACCTGTGATTAGGTGCTTGATAATAACATCCTAAAGCATTTATGAATAGCACTTACATAGAAACTCCTGCTAGTTTGCCAAAGAATTTATAGCTTTCTGTTTCAAATCTCATCACATATTGATTTTTTGAAAGCTCTAAGTATTAACTATTAATAGCCCCACAATGGTGAATTGTTCATAGTTATGAGATAAAATTCTCTTAAAAATATAAAAATATGTAATGTATGTTGACATTTTAAAACAACATTTTTTGATAATCAATTATTAAATCTAATTGTTGATCAAGTGACACCAAAGTATTCATCACATTAAGAATTCTGTATAGCTTCCTAATTTGCTATAATAGGCATTAGGCATTATAACTTCAAACAAGTTGCTTTTGAGTATTAAAATTTTGTGTTTTTTTTTCAAACATAACCTTTTGCTTAGTAACAGAAGGCTACTGATATGTCCAGGTAGAGTCATTAGTAGTTTTATATGGTCTATAAAAGTAACCCAAAACCTGCCCCTCCCATTAAATCCCCACATGCTTGAAATAGGTTAAATTTAGGCCTGATTGTGAACATGTCTCCATAAACACAAATTATCTAGAAGAAAACAAAATGAGGTTAATAATGCCATAGATTTTTACACTGGAAAACTAATAATCAAGCAGATAGGTAAGGGTAAAAAAGCATAGTGGTTTCTCAAAATCTAAAACTAGAACTGCCATATGATCGAGCAGTCCAACTGCTGGGTGTATACACAAAGGACAGGAAATCGCTATGTCATAAAGATACTTGAAGCCCGGTGTCCATTGCAGCACTAATCATGGTAGCCATCGAGTGGAATCAACCTATGTCCATCGACAAGTGAGTCAATAAAGAAAATATGGTGTGTGTACACCTCTGCATGCCAGGCAAGCATCTGTCCATCACCCAGGCAGGCGGGCTAAGGTAGAGCATGCTGTGAAGAGTCTAGTGAGGATGCTTCATGTCTCTCTCTCCAAAACTATAAATAAATAAATAAACATTTATTTCAGAATTCTACACACACACGCACACACATGCACACACACGAAGGAATACTACTCAGTCATTCAAAGAATGAAATTCTGACTATAGCATGGCCTTCACCACTGTGGGGTGATTTCTCACTCTCTGTCTCTCTGTCTCTCTGGTAAGCACGTGTGTCCAACAACAAAAACCTCACTC